TTTGGGATTTTGTAAAAAATAAATAAATAAATAAATAAATAAATACATAAATACATAAATAAATACATAAATAAATTCAAGGATGAGGAGCCAGGGAGATGACTCAGTAGAAAAAGTGCTTGCCTGGCAAGCACAATGGTCTGAGTTCAATCCCCAGTTCTGCCAAAAAATAAAAATAAAAAATATAAAAATTCAAGGATGGCTTAATAATAGAGTTTTATTAAAAACATTATCTCAATAATGTACAAAATGTATATCTAAAATGTACCAAAAAACTTAATTTAGAAAAAATTAAAAAATCATGATTCCCTCCAGACTTGGTCTAATTGAGAACATTTTACATTTACTTTTGATAATACTCTCAGTAAAATGAAAATATTCCATTTCATGACAAACAATAGTCATCTCAACCACCAAAGGCATTCCTATTTAAATACAGAAATAAGACAATGATACCTACAATACTGGTTCATATTTTTCTGCGGTGCTTGGGTATGTTAGATCTAGCTTCCAATGAGTTATGTTTTGGCCATCAATGGAAACATTACAGATTTTTAAAGAAATTTATGTGACTACAGACTTTATTATTAATGCAAAAGGAAATTAAATATAAGAAAAAGCAGGAAAGAAACAAGGTAATTATTATTTCTCCAGGTGACTCTCAGGAAGGGAAACCTCAGGGAGAAAGATACTTTTAAGAAATTCCTAGGAAAATTCCTCTGGATCCCTGAAACTATCACTCTCCTCCAGAAAAAAAATCACTTTTTCTGATTTGGTCACTAACCCTTTGTGGTTTAGATCTAAAATACCCCCACCCAGGGGCCAGTGAGATGGCTCAGTGGTCTAAAGTGCCTGCTTAGGCAGGCACAGGGGAATCGCAGTTCAATATCCCCCCAGTATCCCATGGGCTCTGAGAGGGGCTTCAGATCACGAGGACATTGTGCTCCTCAGGGGATTCATCCATAGGAGCGCTCTTGGCTGCACACGCTGTGAGGGGTAGAGTCCTGGGGGAGGGTTCTGGTCTCTGGCTCCCCGCTTCTCTCCTGCTTCCTGGCTGCCGTGGGTAAGCAGCTGTCCTCCACTATGTTCTTCCACCATGATATTCCTGCTACAGAGCCAGCTGAAAATCCAGGGAATGCCCTGACAACGTGAGGTGCATGAAGCCGCTCCTCCTTGAACTGCGAGTGTTGGGAACTGTGCGCAGCACCCGGGTAGCTGGCCAGGACACGCTCGCCTACAGCCTCCACGAGGCTCGCCTCTAGGCATCTCTGCTGTGTGCATGTCCTTCCACTTGAGCTTTCGTTTTGCTTTGTTTTCTCGTGGTGAATTAGTTTGGTTGTGGGGGTCCCAGCCTCTGGATTCTGGCCTGTACTTGTCACTGTCCCTGAGGATGTTCTGAGTAGACCAAGCGCGGGTGG